TGGGGCATCCATGTGTGCAGACACCCACAGCAGGTTTTTTTATTTTTTTAATTTTATTTATCATATTTTTAATTTGCTACCGGGCATGTTCACTCACCAGAGAGAGAGAAGATGAGAAAGCAAGCCACTCAGGTCCGTGACTCAAACCGTGGCCAGCCATGTGGGAGTTCAGTGCCCTAACCATCACATCACCTGCTGGCCCCTCCCAGCACATATTTCAAGCCACTGGGATTCGAACCATGAGGGATCTAGCTTCCTAAACCACTAGGCTATGGGGCTGGCTCTATTCATCTTCCAGAAGCAAGGATGTCATCTATTTATTAGAGAGTAGCTGCCCAGCGCTCTTTGCCATCTCCTGGGGAATTCAAGCCAGTGGGGACTACTTAGACTGGACTGGACCCGACATTTAAATGGCTGAGTTGTGACAATGGCTCCTGCATGCACCGAGAAGGAGAATAGGGAGAAGGGGTTGTAATATGGCCATCCCCTCTGGGGGGGTGATTTCTCACTTTCCCTCACACTGTCTCTTTCTCTCTCTGGTAAGAGCACCCACTCTAAGGCAAAACTTAAAAAAAAAAAAAAAGGCCAGTGGGTGCCATTCATTAGTGGTTAAGGCACTGGATTCCCACATGACTGGCTACAGTTTGAGTCTCAGACCCGATGGCTTGAAACATGCTGGGCATGTATACATGTCATATATGCCCATAATCCTGAGAGGAGAATGGAGAAGAAGGGATTGAGTCATGCCATCCCTCCAGGTGGTGGTTTCTCACTTTCTGTCTCTCTGTCTCCAGCAAGCTCATGTGCCATATAGCTCCCCCCCAAAAAAATTAAAAAAATATATTTCTGCAGTACGCATTTCCAATACTTTTGTCTATTTTTCCAATATTCCAGTTTCTCAACATGTAAATTCACTCTCTGGAGCTTACACAGACTAAACTAACTGTAGGACTACAAGGTCCCTGTGAACTATTTATTTATCATATTTTTAATTTGCTACCGGGCATGTTCACTCACCAGAGAGAGAGAAGATGAGAAAGCAAGCCACTCAGGTCCGTGACTCAAACCGTGGCCAGCCATGTGGGAGTTCAGTGCCCTAACCATCACATCACCTGCTGGCCCCTCCCAGCACATATTTCAAGCCACTGGGATTCGAACCATGAGGGATCTAGCTTCCTAAACCACTAGGCTATGGGGCTGGCTCTATTCATCTTCCAGAAGCAAGGATGTCATCTATTTATTAGAGAGTAGCTGCCCAGCGCTCTTTGCCATCTCCTGGGGAATTCAAGCCAGTGGGGACTACTTAGACTGGACTGGACCCGACATTTAAATGGCTGAGTTGTGACAATGGCTCCTCCTTGCACACAGCAGCCTCTCTCTGAAACTGAGAACAGGACTCAAAGTCGCCCTCCTCAGCCTGACTACACACGGTCCTGCGCCTGCCCTGCCAGCAGCCGTTAGCAGCAGCACCTGTCTTCCTGAGGTAGAACGCCTGCCTCTGATGCATGAATCCAGCTGATGTGAGGCCCTCAGTGCTCACCCTCATGCAAGCTAACTGGTCTCCCTGGTTGACCGGGCTGCACTGATAGCTGCCTTACCCCCTCCCACCTTGGAGAAACTTTAGCACTTCTAGGCTTCACACTCACTATCTTTCCTCCTCAGAGATCTTTCTGTCTGCTTTATGAAAAAAATTCTACCTGTATCGCCAACTGCCAGATCTTTCTACCTTCTCTTTTTCCCCAAAGCCTCTTAGATTTGGGTTGGGCTTAGCCCCAGATCAAAACTTGGTGCCAACTAATTGACAACTGCAACAGGCTGCAAATTTTCCACCTAGGCATTTTCTGTCAGGTTGTCTTTCTGATTTGCGAATATGTGTGCTGGGAATGGGGGAGAATGCAGGGGTTGGGGGAGCGTGGCAGGCTGGCAGGCCACTCTCTAGATCACTTGGGTCTAGATGCCTTTTTCTGACCTCTTCTGATCTTTTACCAGTAAGATCAGACAAAAGGATCCTGTAACAGGTCCCTGAACTAGATAAAGAGAACCTTAGAGCCATTAGCAAGCGTGACATTTATTTCTGGGTTTCTGAAGTTGTGGGATTTGTCTTGCTTGGTTTGGGAGAGGTGAGACCTAGAGACTGGGGTGTATCTGAAATTTCTTCTCTACGCTGGAGTTTACAGGCTGCTGGGGCCTTCGGGGAGGAGAGGCCTCTCCTGAATCAGTTAACTCAGCTCAGGCCTCAGCTATCAGTCCAGCTCAGACACCAACTGTCACCCAAACCCTTTGCGAGAGTGGGTACCTCTTGCTCGTGCATATGCTGGATCCTCGCGGCTGCTCTAATTGTTTCTTTTTGTCTATTTGTGAATCTTTATTCCAGAGATCCAGTTGCCATCGGTATCCAGGAAGCCGTCCTCTTCCTCCTCCTTCTCCTGCCACCTCTCTACCACCGCAGTTGCTGGTTGTTGCCAAGGTTGCCTCCATGGTAACATGTTCATCCTGTTTATACCTCCATCTGGGCAAGTTGGTCTAAGCTAGGAACCTACCTACTCTGGACAACTGCTTCCGTCACCACCTGGGGACACCAATCATCGTGACACAAGTCCGGCTTTCACTGAGCTCCCTCATCCTCTTCCTCCTCGCTCTGCCAGGCTTCATACAGAAGAAAGGATCTAAGCTTGGGGTTGCTGTTCTGAAGCTTATTGCACAAGATATAGTCGACTTATTTCCTAACTGGGCCCCCAGAGAAGCAAGAAGTAGGAAGAAGTGGGGACAAGGAGGCAGGAGACGCTGATCAGTTGAAAGGAAACTCTACATCTTGTTTGGTGAGGGGCTTGGTAACAGCAGGCAAAATGACGAACCCATCAGAACATCCCCTGCCGGCCAACTCAATGGCCGAGAGCCATGAAGGGGACTTTGGTTTCACAGTAATGGACCTGAGGAAGCTCATGGAGCTACGGTCAACTGATGCACTGACCCAGATCAGTACCCACTATGGAGGTGTACAGAATATCTGCAGTAGACTGAAAACCTCCCCTGTGGAAGGTAAAGGCTGTGTCAGGGGTGGGGAATTAGAAGGTGGCTAGTTTTTCAAAATATCATTTCCCCAGCTTCTAGAGAAGGTACATTTCTGGAGACCCAACGAGTATAAATATACATTACATATAATAGAAATACAAATGTGTGTGTGTGTGTGTGTGTGTGTGTGTATTTAAGTTTATTCCATGAATGAGGGAGACAGAAAGAGATACAGACAGAGATATAGCACCCCTGATAGGGTCTTGATGCCCTAATCCACCCCAAGTCCCAGCCAACCTGGATCATGGGCACAAGTGTGCCCGGTGTATTCAGGGAAGTTTCTGGGCACTAACCAACAACCTTTCATGTTCTATTGCTGCGCCGTCATCAACCCCCAACTGGTATATTTGTGTCTCGTGTGAAAAGTATCCAAAACAGTGAAAGGAGGTGAGGCTATGAGGAGCCATTTCTTTCCTAAGGTGATCTGTAGGGACTGTGGTATTCACTGCAAATCATTCTTCCCTCCTTTCTTCTGTATCAGTGTACAGAAAAGAGGATATTTATCTTATAAATGTTTGTGGTATGAATGCTTTTACCTGAAAATAATCACCAAATCCCTTATTCTGTATCAGATTTTGATTACTGAAGAGTTTAAAATATAATTCTTCCTCACACTGGTTTTATAGTGTAATGGTGGGAAGGGTGAAGGGAGCAAAAAAGTGAATAAATTCATCTACCCAATATTCTCTATTGTTTATAGTTTAAAATGATGGCAAACCGTAAGGTATGTAGTCATAGCCACCATGTCTTTGGATCACTCAGTGCTTTCTGTCAGGGAATTATAGATCATTTTTTCAACCCTTTCTCACACACTTTTAATATAGTTCTTAATCTGTCCTGAAAGAGAATTAAAAATCCAGCTGCATGCTTACCTGGCTCAGCCCAATTGCCCACTACACCATGGAATTATGAAATTTTACCTTATGACAATATAGGAAAAAAAAAAAGGGAAACTTTTGCCTATTCCCGCTTTTGCCTATTTTTAGCATCTCTGTAGCAGATTCTTGCTGGCCCTGTCATGGCAATCCATGGTTGAATAACATGGATGGAGCAAAGATCCTGTCCGTTAGAGGCGTTTTACCTTGGGGTCTATTTCTGAACTTTCCTCAGAGGCCACATCATGTTTTTTACCGATTCTTGCTTTTCTTTTCATTTTGTTTTAATTGCCAGAAGGTGTGGGTGCTAGCTAGAGAGAAGGGGAGAGGGAGAAAGCATCTCCCAATGGAGTGATATCACACCACCACAACCCCTTGTTGGGATCTTGGGCATGTACAGACACGGTGTGTCTTTCAAGCCACCAGGACTGGGATTTGAACTATTGTCAGACATGTGGGATCCAGCTCCCTTAAACATTAGCCTATGGGACTAGCCCTTTCTCACTAATTCTAGAAAGTTTTGACCTCTAACCAATGCTATATCATTATTATTATTATTTTTAATGTGCTATCGAGCATGTGCACTCAATGGAGAGAGAAAGAAAGTGAGTAAGCAACCTCCAGAGGGCTGACCATGCCTTAATCCTTTCTCCATTCTCCTCTCAGGATTTTGGGCATGGACACATGCATGTATGCACATGTGCTTGGCATGCTTGTCAAGCCACTGGGTCTGGGCTGCAAACTGCATAATCAGCTATGTGGGATCCAGCCACCTTAATCACCACGCAGCCTGGCTGGCCCACCAGTGCTATATAAGTTAGTGACTTGGAGTTTAGGCTCTTTAGAATGAAAAACAATAGATTCGTACATGGATATCTTTATGAAGGATCTTCCAAAATGCATAGTATGGAAAACTGCATGTATTTCAAAAATTTTGGCCCCAAAAATAAACTCATACTTTAATTCCCTTTCCTATATATTTTTTTCAAAGTACCCTCATATATTATATCCATGTCTTGTTTTCTTTGTAACCTAGGG